TTTATTATTTCATTAGCTTTAGTTTTATAAAGTGTAATATATTTCCAATAGAGGCGGCTCGTGGCCTAGTCTACGAGGAGGCTACGGAGCTACTTTACTAAAAAATATATATATATATTTCTATTAGAATACAAAAAGCAATAATATTGCATTGTATTTTAATAGAAATATATTTTGTATTAAGTATATAGGGTGTGCCAACCTCCTCATAGACTAGGTCACGAGCCGCTACTGATTGCCAGGTTTGTAAATTTGTAGTTTGTGCACTAGCTATCAAAATATGCCAAAAAATCCAAGTAATACATTTGGTGAAATGATGTTAATGGTAATTTTTGAAAGCTTTGTTCTGAGTATAGTTTCTAATATTCTCTAGGATCTATTACCTAATAGTTTTTGAAAAAATTGCCTGTCTAGAGTTTATCAAATTACGATACTGAAACTACAATGTTTTTATATTTAATTCTAACCACTGTTACTCTTGCAAAAATTATCTTTGCTATGCCAGATTAGATGTTTGTTCTTCTGTAACTGACTTAGCTAGTATACCTATCATCTATTTGCGATGTTTGAAATTTTATTATTGTTGACCGAACTCAAAATAGATTGTTAAAATTAGAAGTAGGTATCTATACGAAAAAGGTTACACTACAAACTGTAGCGATGCGTCACTGTTTTTTTTTTATCTTTAGGAAAACTCTGTGTATTTTCGTAGAGATTCCTTAAAGAACCTAAAAAGTGACTGCTGCACTGTGAAAAAATAATAATATCCGATTTTAACAGAGAAAAAAGCAAAAAGCAATGGTTCTGGCTGCAATGGAAAAATATTTACTCAAAGGCAAAGTATCAAATTGTGTAATATTATCAAACTGTGTATTATGTAAATCCTAAAGATAAATATAATAATTTGAGTATTGATAAATTTAAAATATTAAATATCAACATAGGTTTTACTTAAATACTCCCGGTAAAAAAAATAGGCAGGAAATAACTTTTATAAACGTTAATCTGATTTTGAAAATTTTTCGGCAATAGACTCCATTGCAATAGTAAAAAGTACAGTGGTGTCATAGATGACGTCAATAGCTTAGCTCGTAAATATTTGAGGTTCTATTTATTTGCGTATTTCAGATTTTTTAAGACGTTAGTTTGACTAATTTCTAATTTTAAGTATAACCATTTTACCACATTATAATAATGTATGTCTGATTGCGGTTATACAAATTGTAATTATTTGAAAAATAACTTCGTTTTGTATTGCCTGATGATGGTTTGGTATTCGAAACTACTTGCAAATTTACGTATATAATAAACAATTTTATATAATATTGAATTGGAGTTTTCTTTATTCTAATGAATATTATATATATTAATACATTTAAATATTATTTAAAAAGATGAAACGCCAATGCCTAATTTCTAATGATTTTGGTGCAAAGATGTTCAATTTGAAAAATTTGTAATTTTAAATTAATTATTTTTGTTTTCCAAACCAATGAATTGTTCCCACGTTAAGTAGGTGTGATAGTTTGTTGAAACGAGTTCACCGAGGAGAATCCAAAAAAATATAATAATATGGATGGTGTTTTATGTATAATAATGAAGTTGGTAAGTACCTACTAATTTGAAATTGAGTATAAGTTTAATAAATGAAACATCTTGACAAACCCCTGTATATATATTTTCGGATATCAAACTTGAATACTTTTTAAGAAAGTATAATCCGAATTCAAATTTCAAAAAAGTAAACTTTCTTTGCTTTTACACACTTTGTGTTAAACTATAGTTAAAATAGTAACACCACTGATTTGAATTGGCGTCATCAAATTTACAATACGGCGCTGACTATAGTCTAGAAAAGAAATGAGTGGAGACATGATTATTTAAGGAAAATAGCGGACGCAAGGAATCAGTATAAACAAGTATTTTATTAAGAGGAAACATGGGTTAATGCTGAACAATACTGAACATATAGTAGCAAACATTTGGCAAGACACCTATATCAAAACTAAAAAACAAGCCTCAATGGAATTAAATGGATTAAAAATCCAACAGTAAAAGGAAATGGTTTAATAATAACCCACATTGGAAGCACCGATGGATATTTGCCAGATAGTTTATTATTGTTCGAGTCAAAGAAAACAAAAGACTACCATGAAAAAATGGATGGCCCTATGTTTAAAAATTGGTTTCAGGACATTATAAAAAAAATTCAGCCAACTGCGTATTTATTTGGATAATGCATCCTATCACAGTCGATTAAAGGAGGCACCACTTACAACAAGATGAAAAATATTATCAGTCCTAAATCCTTAAAGGCAACGTAAAGGCAACATAAAGGCAAATTCAAAAAATATATTATAGACCAGATGACCAGAGAAAACGGAATTAAAATTCTTTGATTGCCTCCTTACCATGCAGAGTTAAATCCCATTGAACTGATCTGGTCACAATTAAAAGGTTATGTTTCTCGAAACAATACAACATTTAAATTACTTGATGTACGAAATTTGTTTTTGAAGGCAGTTTCTATAAAATGCATTGATCATGTTAAAAAGGTGGAAAATTAATTTTGGAAAATGGATATAGCAATGGAAAACTTAATAGACTCTATAATAATAAAACTCAGAACGGAACAGACAATGATAATGATACTAGTAGTTATAGTGAAGACAGTTACTTTTAAAGATAGTTGTTGAACTTCTAATTTTTTTTAATTTTTGTTTTAGGAACTGAGTGTTCCCAAGAGATTAAAAAAAGTTTAATTTCATTAACAACATAATCCTCCTTGTTATTTATTGTATAAATTTAATTCGTTCAGTGTTAAAGTGCAACAATTTTTGTCAGAATCATAAGTTTTTGTAAAAGATATAACTTATTTTCATTAAAAATTTAATCTACGAAGTGTTATATACTATTTTATATGCCGTGACCTTATTTCTTTTACAGAAACTTATTTTGCACAGAAGGCCACTCCTCTGTTATATAGACTATAGAAAGACACTTTCGCACATATTGCTGTGACGCTACTGTACCCTTTACTATTAAAACAAAGTATATCTAAATTGATTCTATATTTTTAAAATTGAAAATCTGCTTTCAACCAACAAAACCTCTTTTACCTCTTTTAAATGTTTTATAAATCTATTTTTTCGAAGTATGTTTATTATAATGTCTACTTATTAATAATTATTTGATAGGTACATTTAAAAAATAAAATTTTGTATATATTAGTCGGTAAGTATAATACCTATTCAATATTTTTCCAAAGTTGTAGCCAGTAAAAAAGAAAAAGTCGAGTGCAACATTATACATTTTATAGCCTGACAAAAAAACCCAACGTGCAAAAATCCTTTTACTGCGTCTAACCTCCATATCTTTCTTTTTGACTAGATATTCCAAATCGAATTTCTGGTCTTCCAGCTTGTAAATTCTTTCGTGATATGCTTTGGTAATACTCTTAAGTTGTTCTATGAAAAAATACTTGTTAGGAAGGGAGTAGAACAATAAACACAAACATTGTTTGATATTCAATGCTGACGAGCTGAACTCCACCTATTTTTAATTCTAAGAATAATTATAAAACTGATGTCCAATAAAATATTTTGTGTAGATTAAATATGTTATTTTTTTTCTTAAATTCCTCATATATACGATCAATGCTCGGTTATAGACACATTTTTTATAACATCATCAACCACAACTAAAGAGTGATCCACAATTTTTTGATAAAGCATGATAGGAACACAGTCTGCTTATAGTACCACACATAAAACACTCTTTAAGATTTCAGGCGTACTTTTCGATTATTATTCGATTCTTTTCTATGGAATAAATTTGTTGTTGAATATTTCAATTAACAAGAAAGGCATTAAGAAAGTTTGGAGAAAGTTCTTAGGAGGCAATAGGCTTCTAAATTGTGTCAGTTTATTAAATTTTGACACATTGGAATTTAAATAAAACATTTGCAAGGATCACTCAGTCCTCAACTTGCCTCTTAGATACAAAATGATTAGATTTTACAAAAAAAAGTTGCAAAACGTATTTAGAATCAACAACACATCTAGTGATATCCTATTTAAAATTAAAAAGTTGGTAAAGCTTACGAAAAATATTATAATCTTGGCAATACTGTATGCATCATTTATAAATCTAAAATATTAAAATTAAATGATTCACAAACTTCTCATAGAAAGATAGAGAAGTAATAAGAAACTTGAGGGTATATTTGAGGATTTTAAGACAGCGAGATCTATAATTAAAAAAAATATCGAATGAAAAGTACTAGATAACTTTTCACAGTGGAACAAAATTAAAATTTACTAAGAATACAAGTAATGTTCAAAATGATTGTCACTGTCATACAAGTTACAGTAAAAAACAGGAAAACGATAATATATTTTGAATGGATGACGGTAAGAACCAATTAACTTGATTATGGAATTACTGTAGAGAAAACTGCGAAAATCTACCAATATATTCATATTTGATTCATCCATTCCTAGTTTATTTTCACCTCATAAAAATAATCCTTAATCGATTATTTTTTCAATCGATTATTTTTCACAATCGATTATATTTTCAGTGGTAAGTAAGCAAAAAAAGGAATACGATAACGTTATTTTAATAATTGGTAAATTTGACTTTTGTGTCATGCTTGCACCAATCCTACTAATATATTACGGCAAAACATTTTGAACTACTTTGTACTCTAACACAAAATATTTTAAAAACCTAAGAACTGTATTCTTCTAATTTTTTAATACTCTATAGAAAATAAAAAATTCCCTATATTTTTTCACAATTAAATATGCTATTTGGTTTCTATATTTCCCATTCCCCAATCCGGATTTCTTTTGGTTTTTTTAACAACTAAATTTTCAAAATGTGCTTTTTTTAAAATTGATTTTTATACACATTTATGTCAATAATTTTTTACACCAATCTAGAAGTGGAATAATTTAGCATATTATCGGTTTTACTAAAATAGAAAAATTCGTTACCTTCATTGGCATCATCGATCAATTTGGGTTTACCACACCTTTCTTCAATGATACGCCTCCTTTCAGCAGCTTTACGTTCTTGTTCTTTCTTTAGTTCTTCAGCGGCTTTCTTTCTCAACAGTAACTGAAATTTGTTAAATAAAAAGTCAGTATTTAAAGAACACTTTAAAATTTAGCTTCTGTTTAATTTTTAAGAAGAACTCACTAAATATACCGATAAAGGTTAAGGTTTAACAAATTTTAAACGGTAATGAACTGATATTGGAATGCAAGGGAATATACACGAAATAGTAACCAAATAGTAACGAAATAGTAACAAAATAGTAACGAAATAGTAACGAAATAGTAACGAAATAGTAACGAAATAGTAACGAAATAGTAACGAAATAGTAACAAAATAGTAACGAAATAGTAATGAAATAGTAACGAAATAGTAACGAAATAGTAACGAAATAGTAACGAAATAGTAACGAAATAGTAACGAAATAGTAACGAAATAGTAATGAAATACTAACGAAATAGTAACGAAATAGTAACGAAATAGTAACGAAATAGTAACGAAATAGTAACGAAATAGTAAAGAAATAGTAAAGAAATAGTAACGAAATAGTAACGAAATAGTAACTAAATAGTAACGAAATAGTAACGAAATTGTAACGAAATTGTAACGAAATTGTAACGAAATTGTAACGAAATATAACGAAATTGTAACGAAATTGTAACGAAATTGTAACGAAATTGTAACGAAATTGTAACGAAATTGTAACGAAATTGTAACGAAATTGTAACGAAATTGTAACGAAATTGTAACGAAATTGTAACGAAATAACAATGAAACTAGAATTATTGATTTTGCATCTACAATATAATGAATATCTTCTTCAAACACAAAGCCATTCATAAATATACAAGAGTTGACAAAAGTAAAAATAAAAAATCGGTAATTGAATATATATTAGTAAACTGAGAAAACAAACATTAATAATGAATGCCACAGTTAAAAGAGGAGCTAAAATCTACAGTGACCACTTTCTAAAACAAATATAAAAACAAGGATCATTCAAAGATGAATAAAAACAGAGGCATAAAATCGAATATTAAAGAGTCAATCAGATCATATAAGTTGAGACTGTCAAAAATATACAGAGTTCTAGAAATGAAAAAAAATTGAACCATCGTGGGATCTAAAAGAAATATGGTAAATTTCCAAAAACACAATCCTTAATACGGCCAAGGAAGTATATGAAACATTAAAAAATATTAGAAATTAAAGACAGACGCATTGGTGGAATAACAAAGTAAAAGAAGAAATTAAGATAAATAAACAAAAGTGAAAAGTATACCTAATCTAAAAACACAGAAAAATATACCGGATATAAAGTAGAATATCTGGTGTCAGAACAAACAAAACCCAAATCGAATCAAAAAATGTTCTGTAAAACAAAAAACAAAAATTGAGAAGTGAAAAAATATTCGAAGAATTAAAGCAATTTATGATAAGACAGAACAGAAAAATGGAGAATATACTTCAAAAATCTATCGTCAATAAATAATATTATAATGGAAGAAAAAAAAAGATGAATCAGCTAGCGATAGAAGCAAATAAAATTCAAATAACTGAAAAGAAAATCACTGAAGTTATACATACACTTAAGAAGAACAGCAAGGCTGCTGTTCATGATAACATAACGGCGGAGATGCTAAAATACGTGGGAAAAAGAAGTATGGAACTCTCAACGTACAATACGCAATAAAGTTTGGACAGATGGAAAAATATCTAAGAACTGGAAGTAAGAATAATTTTGCCCATAGACAAAAGACAAATTAGACTGTGGGAACTATAGTGAGATTACTATAATTAGTTGGCATCGAAGGTGCATACAATGGTGCTAGAAGAACGTCTAATAAAAGAAGAAGACGTTGGAGAAAACAATGAGTGCATTCAGGAAGAGACCAAGCACGAATGACCAATATTTTCAGTAAAATAATCACAAGGAAAATTCAAGGCAACAAATTCAGAAATATACCAATTATTTATAGAACTTGAAAAAACAATGGAAGAAAGTTTGAAGAACTTTGAAGAAAATATGAGTGCCAAATTCTCTAAAAAAGAGTAATAATAAGACCAACAGAATGTATGTAAGAATAGATAATATGGAGACAAAAGAAGTTACAACTAATTTAGGAATTAGATAGGGAAGAGTATTGAGCCAGACTTTGTTTAATTTGGTTATAGATGACACAATCGAAACTAGAAATAAAACCAGTAAACTATACATAGGACGCAAAAAGGTAAAACCAGCATATTTGCATAAATGCATTTTCGCTGATGACTTAGTATTATTTGCAAAAAATGCAACAGAAATGAAAACTTACTTGAAAATATGGAAAGGAAAGCTAAATACTAGAAGCTTAAAAATCAATGAAGAAAAAACAAGAATAAAAATCACTCGTAAAGATAACACAATTGATATTGACATAAACAATAAGAAAATAGACACCGTAGAGTTCGCAAAAATAACAAAGGATTACAAAAAGTAAAAAGTAAAAAGCAAAAAGATGTACAGTAAATTTAACCACAGTCGCTGGGGTTGAAAATAAGTCGATCGCTAACTTGCTTGCATACAAAATGGATAGTAAAAAGTAGAAATTTAGGAAGTGCTTTTTTTTACTCGTGATAGTAGTTTACGTTATAAGCCCGGTACCTAGATCTTTAAATGCGAGCACGTAGAGATCAGGTAAGGGCGTGCATCGTACAACATTTTACAACCTAAAATCAAATAAAATTTTATCATTTGATACCATCATTATTTCCAAATGTGACTTAAAATAATGACAATTCAGTTAAAACTGACAGTTTAGTCTGCTGTTAAAATTTTTATCCGTCTAGCCTGTTATAACTACCTTAACAACGGTATACCATTGCAGTATATCACAAACGGCTTAACATATTTTTATGAAAATGTACATGAGATGTATGAAAACAATGACCAATAAACTAAAATTGGTGACGTCTAAAATTGTTTTAATTCTATAGGGTTTTAGAAAGGTTAAAAACAGGATGCCATAGAAATTCTACATTTGTTTTGAACATTTTTGTTTCCTAGTATTTCTTTGTAAAAGCCTTAATTACTGAGTTATAGGTCCCAGAAGGAGGGTCATAGTGAAAAATACTGGCAATAAATATACGAAATATGTGTTTACGATTTTTGTACGATTTTTTTTCTATTGTAAAACTTCATAATACAAAGAAATAATTGTAAATGAACTTGTAAAATAGCAAAAAAAATCGTTAAGCAATATTCAATGGTTTAAGATCAATAGAGCAATTTAATTATGAATATTTTTCACCATGACCTTCCATCAGGGGCTTATAACTCAGTAATTAAGGTCCTCACAAACAAATACAAAAAGTACAAAGCAGACGTAAAAATTCAGTTGCGTACTGATTTTAACTGTATTTTATTGTCTAAAAAAATAAAGAGATCAAAGGAAACCTTCTAAAAACCTATAGAATTAAAACAATTTTAAATGCCACTGACTTTATTATTATTGGGCACTGTTTATCTAAGATCCGAAGTAAAGTCGACCTTCACCCATCTGTTTAACGGATGAAAGATTTTTTTTATTAATTAAAATATGTTTATAAATATACCGCAAATGGGTTGCCTAATAAAATACGGTCATGACTATTTCTTTTCTTAAAGTAAAAAAAACGACATCCTGTAAAGTATTCCCCAGATGCTTAGACTATGCCCAAACTTTAATCAGCTCAGGGCATGATGGATAAAAGCTTAAGTTTAAAATTTGGAGTTTTTCTGTTTATCTGTTTTTGAGGTATATTCAAAATTCTAAATTTGCACTTTTCCTCAAATATCTCGAATTAGTTCCATTTTAGGGGAATCATGTATAGGAACAAAATTATAGAGAATGACTTTTATCATGATTCCTATACTTTCCTTATCTGTATACAGAAAGGAAAGTAAAAATGGCCTTGACCGTATTTTCTTAGGCAACCCATTTGCGGTATATTTTATTTAATGAAAAAAAAAAAACTTTCATCCATTAAACAGATGGGTGAAGTTCGACCTTACTTACGGATCCTGTACTATGTATATTAACATACTATGTATATTTTCATGAAAATATGTTGTATCGCATTAGAGTAAGAGCAAAAAATCACTTTTGAAATTTCTACTTTAATACCCAGTAAAGTTTTACTATTAATTTTTATTCAAGCAAGTTAGATTAAATCATCTTATTTTCGACCCCATAAATTGTGGTTAAATTTACGGTACATCTTTTTGTTATACCGTGTACATATAATAATTGACATCCAAATAAAGAAAAAAAAAATAGACAACCCAAGATTATTCAATAAAGGTAGCAACGCCATAAATACTTCAACTTTTTTTTGATAGTTTTGAGGTCAACTATTATTACACATTAAAATTTGTTAAGCCTTGTAAGACCTACAGTTTTTATGGTTTAAGAGAATTAAGACAATTTTAAATTTCTGACTAAAAATGTCTTAAAATAAAATAAAGAAAAAGAAAACACCAAATAAATTTAAAGAAAAATATGTTTTAAGAAGCATTATGAAAGTAAATGATAAATGACGAAAATGACGAAAATGGCGAAAATGAAAAACAATTTTAAGATAAATATGAGCAAAATTCCATGGAAAACCATTTTTATATGAATCATTATTAGTAATAAAAAGACTACGTTATATTTAGGTAAACACAGTAAATTTTTGCATTTGATGAACCCAAATCTCCCTTTTTAAAAACCATTTTCAATAAACAATCCCTAACTTTTTATTTCAGTTACACTATAACTAAAAAAAAAATACTTACCCTAAGTTTCTTCTTTCTCTCAGGTGTCATGAAACCTTTCTTGGCTTTCTTTGCCTTGGAGGCTTCTTCCATACGAGCCCTGACTTCAGCCCTTTTGCGCTCGATCTCGGCCTGTTTCCTTTTCTTTTCCTATTTTGTCATTGTCAAAAATTCGATCAGTATTTATGATAAAAGAATACAACCAAAAATAGCAAACGCACTGCCATTTCATCTATATATATAGATAGATAATTGAATGTTGATAGAATTGGTACTGCAAATGTTATATCAGTCTCATAAAATAGTTGTTGTAAAGAAACTTCGATGCAATTCATCCATGCCAAACACTTTAAACATACAACATACAAGGTTTGATGGAAATTTCTTTCCCAACTGCTATACGGTTATTGAATAATTAGAACAATAAAATTTTGATAAAATTCAATGTTTTAAATATTAATTTATAAATTAAGATAAGAATTTTCTAAAAAATCTCTAAAATTTTACAGTAGGTTTAAAAACTTAATGACAAATTTCGCCATTTTTAAATTTATATATTTAATCATTTTTTTATATATTTAACATTAAATGATCTCTCATATGTTTGCTATTTTTAGATTGCTTTGTACTAGTGATTTACGTGCCTCATCCAACTTCTTTCTCTGGAAAAAAGAAAAAATACCAAATGTTAATATATATTCTTCAATATTCTTAATTTGTGTTATTGTGTGATTATGTAAAAACTAAACTGTGACAGTGCTTAAGACGAAAGATTGTGAATATTAAGATTGTAAAATTACACATAGTCAAAACAAATAAGGACAAATATTATGACAACAAACTTTAACTTTGTGACAAAAAACTATGTAATTAAATAAGATAATAAGTGCAATAATATATTATTTAAAAGATTATTTAAAAAAACGTACAAAATAGGATTCTTAGTGATTAAGTGAGTGAGTTGCAAGAAAATGTAATAATATTAAAATGTGTTTTATAAATTAAAAACTTTAACTTAATATCAAGAACCCTCTTGCAACCTTGTGTTAATGTCTGTTTTTAAAGTGGTAAACGAAAAGCAACAATTAATAATTGTTAGTAAAAAAAACCCAAACTACTTACAGTTTAAAGAAAAATATATTAATTGAAAGAAAATACAATTTTCTATAAGTAAATATTGACAATCGCTGAATATACCAAACAATTTAGAATGCAGAATAAAATTCAAAATAATAGCTTTAAGCGTTCTACAGTTCAATTTTCTATAAGAGAACTTTAATACATAATTTTATGTATTTAATTAAGCTTTATTTAGCGCTTGGTAGGTATCTACTACTCGTCTGTAGAAGTAGATGCCTCAAAATCAAATAAACTAGAAATTAAAGAGCATAAAATTTCGTTTGGTTGAACATGCAAGTTAATATTTACCTTTTTTATCGGAGAAAGACGAACGTTTTGATCTCATACTGCACATGAAAAAAATAAAATAAAATATGAATTATTTTATAAAATTAAAATAAAATATAATAGTTGTCAAATGAAATGGATAAATACATAAATTGCTTTCAAGTTGAAAAAACGAATGGTAATTAAAGAACAGCTCATAACTTCTTAAAAAATAGTTGTAGAAAAGTTTTTGTTTAAATAAGATTGTGCGTCTACATTTAAATATTTAAGAATTGTAAAACATAAGTCGGCTCTATCGCACACCAAGAATTTAACCATCGTTGTCAATTCTGAAAACTTTTTAAAATGCAATGAAAATTTGTAATAGCATGACGACGACAAGAGCACGAACTGAAAACATCAACCATACTATTGAACGTAACGTGACCTGACATAGACATAGAAAAGGTATTACTATCTTTTATCTCCATATTAACATAATGTATCTCACTCCCCTCGTGCAACTAAAGTAGTTAGACGATTACAACATCTAGCCAATAGGATTTAAAATTCAAGCGTCTCTACCCTATCACTAGTTAGGGGTATTTCATATTTACAAAATATTGAGTTAAGCGACAGAAATATTTAATTTTATTTTAAATGATTTTCTAACACAATAAATGTTCTTTGTTTTATTTTATTTTATTTTCCACAATATTTTTTTGTCTAATAAACTATTTTCTATCTATATATCTGAATTAGGGCGTGGTTCAAAGCCTAATTGTACTGACGCTCTAGGATTATTGTACCCCTCACAGTTTCTATCCCATCAGATTGATTTTATTGATTAATTCAAGAATATGTCTGATGGGCGCTTTCGCGATTTCTTCAGGTTCCGGATATTGTACCCCGAAGTACCATTTAAGGTTCCGACAGTGGCATAGTATGTGAATAGAAGTTTCGTCCTCCTCTTCACATATGCTACATAGGGAATCATCAGATATCCCTAAGAGATTTAGGTATCTTCTAAGACCGCAGTGTCTCATAAGGAGTCATATAACGGCATTGAGTTTGCTTCTGCTAAGGTTTAGCAGTTGATTTTGTCTGCCCGTGGATGGCCCCTCTATAAATCTTTTGGACTGTCTAAGTTTAGAAAGTTTTAACCAGAGCCTAGGGTGTTTTCTATTTATTTGTTCCTTTAACGCCCATTTAACATGTTGGTATAAGATACCACATGTGGGTTCGGGTCCAACAAGAGTTTTTTTCCGCTCCCTTCCTTGCTAGGAGGTCTACTTTCTCATTTTCAACCACTCCTTCATGTCCCGACACCCATTCAATGGTGACATTGTTATGTCTTGCCAGAGCCTGGAGGGACTGTTGGCAATCGAGTATTGATTTAGATTGTACTCTTTTCAGTGCTTTCAGGGCGGCCTGATTCTGTCTGTCATGATAAAGACCCTCTTATCTTATCTTATCTTATCTTATCTTATCTCTTTAGCATGACTTTGGCGCAGGCATTTATTGCTGTTGCTTTAGCCTGGAACACTATTGTCAGTGACCCCAGGTTCATACTAATGGTTCTCCCTGAGTTTACGTGGTAGATCCCAGCTCTTGTGCTGTTTTTTTATTTCCTGTATACCAGATTGATTCGCTTTGTTTTTCCCTATTTTTCCTGGCTTTTGGGCCTTTCTGGTATTTAAATATCGAAAGGTTTCCTTAAGTCGTGAATAATGGGCGTTCTATCCGATGGCACTCTTAGTACCGGATTTTGTTTTAATTACTCTAATATCATTGTGTGGTGTCCTTTTTTAAGTTCCTATCCAAATTATTAGTCTGCCGCCGCCATAGGCTCCTTCTCCACCACAAGGTGTAGTAGAGGAAGACCTAGCAGTAGCTCCATTGTTGCTGTGGGCGTAGTTATAAATGCCCCTGGTATTATAAAATAGGCTAGTCTTTATACCTTGTCTAATTTTCTGTTAACTGTTATGCTTTTAGTCTTGTGCCACCATATGACTGATGAGTAAGTTATAGCAGGTACTACAACCATAGTGTAAAACCAGTGCATCATACTTGGTTTAAGCCCTCATATGTTCTCTACCATCTGTCTACAGGTCCATAGTATTCTTACAGCTTTTTCTGTTATTTGCCGAAGCTAAACTTGTCATCAAGAGTGATTCCAAGATATTTAACCTCTTTTGCCATTTTTAGATGTTGTCCCCACATATAAAGCTCCTTCATTCCTTGAAGGTTCCTTTTTCTTGTGAATGCAACAAAAGAGGTTTTTGTCGGGTTTGTGGACAATCCCTCTTTAAGGCACCATCTTTCAACTATTTTAATTTTGAATACATTTTTTAAAATTCATTCATAGTTTTAATTTTTTTTTAAGATTTCCTCGCAATAACTAAATGAAGCAAAACATAAATCGTGGGCTTACAAGCAAAAGGTATTAAGTCAAAAAATAGGTTTATAAGTTATAAGCAATTCAAAGTTTCAATGAAAGTCTATTCTTTTATAAATTATTTACGGAATATCAACTGCTTCAAAGAAAATGTACATGCTTTCGGAATACAATGAACTGTTTTTTACTGATATACAAAAATATAAACCCATTTTGACAAATTTTTGACTTAGTGCCTTTGGCTTGTAAGCCCACGAAATATCCTTTTTGATATGGGTAAAAGAGAAGGCATTTATGATCATGAAACTTGAACTTGAAGCATGTCTACTAATGATAAATATGACAAATATGGGGTGTGGTTAATCTGTAGGTCCTCTCAAATCTCTTTAACTTTCATTGAAATATGGGAGAAGAGCATATCCCGAAGAAAAAAGGGCCACCTGATCGAAATTTTCACAGAACAACAAAATATCGCTAAAAATTGCCAAGTTCGGCACTCAAGGATGAAAACTTGGATAATTCATTGGGACAAAATCATAATCAGAACTACTGGGTATATTCATTCAAACAATACGTATTCACCCTTCATTTCACATTTTAAGTATTACCACTTACTGAATCAAATCTCAAATTAAATGAAAAAATGAATTTGTACATTTCAAGAATATTATGTTACAAAGATAATGTTTTAAAATTAAAGGAGATAAAAGTTGTTGTATTTTAAACCAGTGTATTTCAATTTCCATTGAATTTTTATGGGGAAAATAAAAACACTCATAATTAGTCACGTTCGCAAGCACTTAGATATGATTCATCCCTTATCTACTTATCTACAATATACAGGGTGAGATTAGTTTTAAAGTCGATAGTGGTTAAAATAATAAAAATCATTAAAATATTTTGCATGGTTCGTTATATTAATTGATGTGTGATGTATACAAAATTATTTAATTTATTTTGACACCATATGCAAGTATTAATCCCGGTAGGCTATTTTATCAAGGATGGTGGAAAACATCTTACTATTATTATAATCTTTAAAACTACCTTTTTAATTAAATTCTTCTTTTAATTAATTTGTCTAATTTTAAAGTTTATTCATAATCTTTCAAAATTATTGCCTATTAAATTAGCTTTCAAATTATTTATACAGATCGAGTGTCCCAAATTAGACGGTCATATTTTAACATCGTAATCTACATCCAAAAATAGGAGTAAAAGTTCATATAAACATAGGTCCGAAAACGTTTCGTTTTCGAGATACAGGGTGTTACAAGTGAAGTCCTGATGGCACATTTTTGTAAATATGTTCTTAAATTTCTTTAGTCACCGGTTTTCCAAAGTTAAAAATTAAATTTTTGATTCCACAGGCCTACTACATATTGTTTACCTATACTTTCGAACAAGATAACATCAACCTCTCATGAAATTTTCAAACGCTTTTCTCTTGAAAATGGTGCAACAGAAGTAGATTTATTATAAAGAAAACATTGGTTTTCCAAATTTTATAGTAAAAAATATTAAAAACTGTCAATAAAAAAACTTAGGGTAATTTTACCCTAAGCCCCTCCTAATTTACCCACCTATGAAGATGATCATAAACTGGGGTTTAGTCCATTTAATAGAGCGTAAAAAGGTAAGCATTTGTACCAAATTTCACTTAGTTGTTTTTAAACGTTCAGAAAATATTTACAAAAGTGTGTCATTAGGACTTCACTTTTAATACCCTGTACCTCGGAAAAGAAACGTTTTCGGACCTATGTTTATATGAACTTTTAAAATATGACCGTCTAATTTCGGGACACCATTGTTTTGCTCAAGTAAAAAACGAAATCAAAAGAAACTGATGATATTATCACAGACGAAACGTAGTAAAATGTTAAAGTATAACATATCGTTGTATTTAGCTATACAAAAGCCATACAAAACTACAGATAAAAATCCAGGTTCGTATTAGAAATTCCATAAGACATATGAGCACGAAAAAGAGAAAAGTAAGCCATTTTTAAAGTATGGTGATTCATAATTATGTTTTTTAATTGACGAAATAAGAATAGGTAAGGAGCTAGATAATTTTTTTTCAATTGTCCAATATGACTGGATCAGTTTAGTTCATTGTCTATAGTAAAACCTAACATTACAGTTTTAGGCTCATAATGGTACATGCAGTGACACATTCATGGGTTCTGATTTATTTTGAGTTAGTTTAAGACTATTTGCAGCAAACCAATAGCTTTTTCTTTTAGTTCATTGGTTAGACAAGATAGTTGTGAGCAGCTATCACTTAAATAGATTAAGGTAGTATCATTAGCAAATAATATACTATGATGAAGTTTCTTAAAATGGATAAATTATTTTTGTATATATGATAAATCGTAACAGCCCCAGAATTGGTACTAGCGGAACTCTTGTACTCACAAAGTTTAAATTAGACCGGCTAATATAAAATACACTTTTAAATCGATTGCTTACATTTGATTTAAAAATGTACAACGCAGTTCCTCTAACCCCATAGTAATTGAGCATTTCGAGAAGGATATTGTGTGATACTCAGTCAAAGACAAATCGCACTGAGCACATACCAGATACACTAGGCTCAACGAGGCCTAAGTACAGTGGAGCTTCGTATTCACTCGTATTAAATCGTACTTCAAACGCTTTAATAATATTCATGATTTTTTTTTTGAATGCAGGTTTGGATGGCATCAGACAAGTCTGTTTACTACAGTATTTTATACAATTATTTCTTTATTAGTTTATGTTCTGTTACTTTATTACTGTTACACTTTAGGAACAACACTAATAATTAGAATCTAATAGAGAATGGTCGAGTGAGAAATCTTTAATTTCAATTAGAAAAATCGCAGTCCGGGTGGGATTCGAACCCGGGACTCTTGGACTCGAAAGTCTAGACTAAGCCATTCACTTCGCATTCATTAAAATTAATAAAATAAATTATTTTGTAATACGTACCTAACCTCATCGTCCGCCATTTTGGTAGTGTTTTAGTTGTTCTGAAAATAAAAAATTGTAAGTAATTCGATAAAAAAAAAAGATTTTACGGTAAAGATCAATCGACTCGATGCGATGTGACGAATCTATTTTCGTAGCGCATTTAATATTCCCGTTGGATAAAAATAGAGGATGTTGGCCTGAATCCAAAATAGCTCAAATCTGTTTTCCCATCGCCCAATTTGGTTTCTCGCACAATTTTATGTTTACTATCGTGTTACTTGAAAGTTACCCTTTACAAAGTTTATTTTATTTTATTTAAGCTAGGTTTTAGGGGTTTAAATACTTTAAAATATATTTCCAATTTGAAAATGAAAAACAATTAATAAATCTTCTTTTTTTGTACTAATTATATTTAGAATTTCCATCAACAATAAATGAGTTTTTATTTTTGGCAAATTGATTATTACTTTTCTTTTGGAAATTCATAATGTTCACTTGATATGAAGTTTCTGACACAGTAAGAATATTTGAATTCTCTCATGTTTATTATTCTTATTCTTCCATTTCCTACAATAGTTTTTAAAACTTTAAATTGGATCCATATTTTTTTTAATTTGGTAATTGCTATATGTAGATATAACCACAAATAGTAATGTTTTACAACATAATACAATATTTGCATCAAAACTAATTTATTAGAAAGTAATGTAGATTTTCACAAACTTTCTTCACAAATTCTAGAGCTTATTTTATGGCAATTGAGCTAGAGCTCTTTAAACATCGGTTTAATTTTATTCATCTCTTAAAAACGGGTTTCTTTTAATTGATAACATTCTGTGCACTTATTTCGTGAAAGATATTCAAATGTATCTAATCAAAAATACAATTTTTTAATTGTTGTCATAAGCGGCTCGTTTGAAAAAGGTATTGGACATTTTTATTCATAACTTTTTCTTTTGTGGATGAGGTGATTTACGTCAAATCGATACAGAATGAACTCCAGAAGTTGCAGTTTTCTTTTGTGAAGAGAGTTTGTGGAATATCTGTATATTATTGTTAAAGTAAGTTCCAATTTTAAGAAAGCTATGTAAATTTATAAGAAGAAATTTCTAGATATATTTAAATAAGCAGTTGTTCAATTAAATATTTAAAAATACTTTTTAATAAACTGTTTTTCCTGTTAGCTTTTGAAATGTTCATGTCCATCTATTTTATTTTAATTCTAATTCAAATATGTAGAAATTAACAAATAATATTACTTCAGATTATTTTAAGTTGACCTATTTATCTGAGTTAAAAACACACGATTATACAACTCTCTGAACAAGGATAAAGTTGCCAAGTTTTCGTTTCTATATAATGGAGTTTATAAAAAAGTAACAGAAATTAACTCTTTAAAATTGTTGTAGGTGTTTTTTTCTTGACAGTTTAAACAGAAAGTTTTCTAGTTTCAGAAATTAATAAAATGGTAAAGATGGTACCCAATCAATTTAAAAGAACACATTAATTACAAATATACTACTGTATTTTGCTTCTCGTCTAATTTTTTAATAGCCTATAAGAATTATTTCATTGATTTAATTTAAAGTTAAATCAATCAAAACTATTATTTGCATTGTATATCAATTAATTACATATCTATAGAGAAAAGTCGATGTATCTAAATACGGAGTGGTTAAAAGTAGCTGGTGATATAATTGGTAGCTTCTACATTGTTGCCAATGTAAACATATTCATTAAATGTTTTCAAAATGAGTAAGTCACATTCTAATGTAACTACAAAACGTTTGAGTCCAAAGTTCTTTTATTTTTAAAAACTTTTTTGCATAAATAGTATCTATCTATAAATGAAATGGTCAAGCCATAATAATAATAATAATAATAATAATAATAAAAATAAATGGAAAAAATAACACTTATCACAGATGCAGTGTACCAATGTGAGCTCCAATCTCCATTAGGTACTAAAAATATAAAACAAAAAATCTAAAATTAAGCAGAAGGTTAAAATTTTATATTTTTATTAGCAAAAATGAAATCTAATGTTAGAAATACTGCTAAAATATTGCCCCCAGTTCAATGACATTAGCTCATTAGAGTGGAAAATGTAGGCAAGCCAATTTTGAGGTCACTGATTTTTGTTATTATAAATAAAATTTCAAGTCTTAAAAGTTTGAGCTGCAACATTTAATAAATACAAACATGGTTGAAAGAAAATCAAGTAAATCATTATTTTAAATACTGAACTGAACTGTGACTGCTGAAAAGTGGGACTACCTTATTCCCTGTTTGTGTCCATTGACACGACCAATTTTATTCTACTGATACAGCAAAGGCAGACGATACTCCAGAGAATTTTATAGCAAGATGGATACCAAGTGATTGTTTAGCTGTATGAAATCAAATTTACCAAATAATAAAACAGTGCACGAAACCTTATTATAGATAATTTTACAATGTTTATAGATCTTATGGGCACACTACATGATCTGTCAATTCGTATTTTAACAAAAATGGCCATTTTTAGAAAGTATTTTTAGGTTTACAATTTGACATCTATGAACAAGTATTTTGTAAAAAATAATAAATTCTTAAAAAAATTATTGTTTGTAATAATTTTTTTTTAACCAAAAATTGATGAAGTTGCTTTTCTTAATGATTTTGAAGTTGATCCAAGATACTTACTCTTGGATCATTTAATTAATTTATTATATCAAGATACGTTTATGAGTGATTATACTACAAATTTTAAAGTTATAAATGTCAATAAATATTAACTTCTCGAAGTCCACTAAAATATATCACAGTAATTTCATCAAAAATAAATTTATCGTTTCCATCCCACATGAGATATTCTTGGCACCTAATATCCTTTAGATAAACAACTTAAGCTATTAAATATCGGCCATTTTGATTTTCTATAAATATATTTTTGATTATATAATAATTTTAATTGAATATCTATCACCATATATATTCGAGTATATTTTGCAAAATTTGAATTCAGAAATATTACATTATTAATTTATTAACTCGGCCAGCAATCTAAATCTAAGCAACACAGTTCTCTTACGCAATTCACTATATTACAGTACTTGTGAAGCACAAAAAATAGCACAAAATAAATCCACTTTCACTGCACCATAATCCAATGTAATAAATAGGGGATATTCCTGGGGTAGGTACCCTAAAACATACCTGTTCTCAACGATGGAAAATGTGAGCAGTCAACAAGGACTGGGTGCTGACTGTTGAAGATTTTTCTGTCAGAAGCTCAGAGTTCTCTTCCCCCTACTCCATTTTCTTGACCGATAGTTCCCTTTCCCCTCCCGTTCTCCTGCTTTTCAGGTCTATTTTTGAAAGTGCTGCCTGCCAAAATTAGCATTTTCAGAAACTCGATATCTGGTTAGTGATGCTCAAACTTTGTAGGTAGATCAGTCGAGCGAGAGATATTGTAAATATGGGTTGCGACCAACATAATACTATTCTTTTAGTCGGCACACTTGCATATGTTTAGGAGCATTTTTCTTTGGGATGTTCTATACTTAGAATATCAAAGTTCCAGCGTTAATTTCAGTTTAAAAACTAGTGTTTTAAAAGATTTATAATTCAATTTTTTATCACTACTAGATATTCAGCAGAACAAATTGTTTTTTTTTTAATATATTTTCTTAATAAAATAGATCATTCTTAAATATTAAGTTTTATAAATTATTTATTATCATTTTATTGCAAATATACCCTAAGTTCTCTTTATCATAAAGAGTATAATACATTAAGAATGTAAAAAACACTTTACACAAGTAATGCACAATAATTTTTATACAATCCCAAAATAATTTCATCAAAAGAATGTAAAACTAGGAAATCTAGCTATGGAGGTTCAATCAAGTTGTGGATGGTTTTAGATTTGTTTTTATATGAGTTATTGAATAATTTTTTAAGTGTTTTATGGATGGTGTTTTGTCGAAAATAAAAAACTTTGTGATTCCATTCACAAACAATTCATAGTAAGATAAAGATAAAATACAATTAGGTACAAAAAAATATTAAAATACAATAATATTTCTTCTTTTTATTATTAATGAGTACCCACTTATCAGTAATTAAATTAATACAAAATAAATAGCGAAAAGATTAACTGTAGGGGTTATATTAAGATAAATGACATGTATTTAAAATAAAATAAATAATAGTCGTATTTTCCAAAAATAAAAAAGATACTTCATTGGAAATTGAACCAGCATCACGACATGGTCGCGAAAAGCACACCCACCCACGCACGTACGCACGTATGCACACCCTCGCACGCACGCGCACACATACGACAGCATCGCGAAAATAGTCAAAACGGATTCAGGGGACCCCAAAACGTAAAAATCCTTGGTTTTGAACTTGGAAAAAACAATTTATTTTAATTTTCCCTACTGCGACAGAAAAGTTATTTAATCACCTTTTGATTGATTTTTTAATAATTGTAATGTATTATCGAACTGGACGTCGTCAGTAAAACACTAATAAATAACGCACAACCCTTATACACAATCAATTCCCAGTCAATACCAATACAACGCAATTTCCCAAATTACAATGGCTGCCACAGCCAGTGAACGACTCGCGTATCGGGGACAACACTAATGATTTGTAATTGCTGTGATTGGGAGGTGTTTGTGTGAATGCGTCTTGTTTGTTTTCATTTACGCCGTAACTAGCAGTACATCGGATGTACACTAAATTTTTGTGCATCGGATGTATCCTCCATTATTTGTACATCATAACTCTAACCTACCTTTATTTTACATGATGGAGTGGAAGTATTTTTTTGTAGTATTTTATAAACCATAGAAGCATCTGTATCTGTAATGTTTGGAGGGTGGGTTACCCCACAGCACTTAGGCCTCATTAGGCCCATTGGGCATCCTCCTGAGCAAAAAGGCACCTCCTAGCTTGAAAGCCAGCCTACATATTTAATGTAGTTGACAACGTCGCCAAGAGGTGCTTTTCTTATATCGGCCGGTGTTAGCCGATACTCGCCGAACACAAATATTTTAATAAATGAGAGCGTCGAGCAATCGTAAAGGATATGTTGGATGGTCTCATCTTCTTGTTCGCACCCTCTGCAGAGTGCGGATTCTGACAGCCCCATTATATGGAGATGCTTTCGTACTTGGCAATGACCAGTCAGAATGCCTGTGACTAGGCGCAGATTCTGTCTGGTCATAGTCAAGTATTTGTTTGCTGCAGTGTTGTCAGGATAACTTAAGAGTTCTCTGGCAACTCTGCAGTTTCTTGTTTTATCTCATCTTTCCTTAAATTTTACAAGGGAACGTTCTTTGATTAGGTCTGTCACTACCGATTTTGTCAGGCCAATAGAAGGACCAGGTTCTAAAAGTGTAGTATAGAAGCATAGATGAACAAATAATAATAATGCCGCAACAACAAGAAGACGAAGCAACGACTTCTCGTAGGGTGGCGGCTTCGCCGCCACCAGATAATTTTAATCCATACCTGGCTACGTTGACCGGCATAAACACCAACGGCCTGGACACAACTCACCTACTCTGTAAAAAGGAGACCGATGTACAAATAAAAGGCGTACATCCGATGTACTGCTAGTCACTGTCTTTCATTTAACTTTTAACTAAACCTAAAAAAAGTCCACTCGAGCATATAACATACCTAATATGTAGGTGAAAAAAATCACTGTATAGATTTTAGATTTTACCTAATATCTTCTTTTAAAATAAATTACAGAAAATGGACAGATAAAAAACTGAAGTTTTATTTCGAAAACGCAATTTAATAAAGTAAAAGTAGGAATCATGAAAGCATTTGTTTTTTTTTTAGGTTAGGTTATAAAAATCATAGATGACATGCGCACTACAAATCATTAGTGTTGTCCCCGATACGCGAGTAGTGAACGTTGATGGATCCCCTCGCTCTAGACAGACCTGCGCACCATATCCCAATGTGTTACCAACTTAACATAATATACTACAATAATAATGTTTGTAGAATAAAATTTTATAAACAGGACATTACAAATAAACAGGTTAGCCACGAAGTAATACTAAGTTTACTGGTGTGTGGCAAAGTTAATATATTAGTAAATTCAACAAAACAAACTAAATAAAAGCTATTTCGTGTTATGCTCACTAAAAAATTATATGTCAAAGGAATCTGTAATTTACTATGCACATGTATATTCTTTAATCAAAATATTACTGTTTGGGTTCAATCATCAGATATCTCTCGCGTATTTATTATCCAAAAACGAATTATGCTTCACATCCTTGTTAGTGGAAATAAAGATAACCTTGTAGTATACCTATGTTACGCCGCTGACTCACATGTTCAGATTAAAGATTTTACATTATTCTCTATCGCTGCCTGCTTAGATTATATATTACCAATTTTTGTGTCGCATGACTAACATCGTTTAAACCGGACCACATTCCAGCGATTATAAAAACATGGATAAAAACTATCGAAAACGAAAATCGTCTCAGAAATACGATAAATTAAAAAAGAAATGAAGAAATTTAGACCACAGGTAGGAAAATAATGTTTTTCTTTTTATTTAACTGATTTTTAGCTTGCAGAAGATACTGCTTTACTGTAAATTTCCGAATTTAGACGACATATAAATAAGCAGAAGATACATGATTCATATAAGCCTTATGCAGAGCGAAAAATGCGACTTTATGTGCAAATTTCGCAAAACTTTTGTGCCGGAAGATACTACTTTATGTGTAAATTCCGCAAATAACAAATAAATGTACAGAGGAGGCTACTTTATGTGTTAACTCTGATCTTATACTAGTACAGGTTTGCGAATGGTTTTCTTCATAATTTAATTGATTTTTAGCTTGCAGAAGATACTGCTCTACTGTAAATTTCCGAATTTAGACGACATATAAATAAGCAGAAGATACATGATTCATATAAGCCTTATGCAAAGCGAAAAATGCGACTTTATGTGCAAATTTCGCAAAACTTTTGTGCCGGAAGATACTACTTTATGTGTAAATTCTGCAAATAACAAATAACTGTACAGAGGAGGCTACTTTATGTGTTAACTCTGATCTAATACTTATATTATACAAGCCCAGCTAACTGCAATGCAAAAAATGCTACTAAATGTGTAAATTTTGTAAAATTTTGGTCGATAAGATACTATTTTATGTTTAAATTCTACATTTAAGTCAAATAAATGTACAGAGAAGGCTACTTTATGTGTTAAATCTGATCTTATACAGGGTGGCTCACGCTCAACGGGACGGAGCTTTATTCGAAAACGACCAAAGATATAAAAAATTCCTTTGGGAGGAATACGTAGGTTACAGACGGCTACAATTTAAAATTTGTTAGATGTATACAGGATGTCCCACATAAGAAAAAAAAAATTAGTTCATTAAAAATTATTCAAACAAGAGTAAACAATTAATTTCTGGGAGACTTTTTTCCTTAAAAATTCAAATAAATCGAAAACTAATAATAATAGTAATAGGAAACCTTTAGTTAATCGACATTATTTTTGATGTAGTTTTTAATTCTAAAATAAAAAACAGGGTGTTCCATTAAAAATAATATAACTTTGTATATTTTCTCTTATGTGGGACATCCTGTATACATCTAACAAATTTTAAATTGTAGCCGTCTGTAACCTACGTATTCCTCCCAAACGAATTTTTTATATCTTTGGTCGTTTTCCCATAAAGCTCCGTCCCGTTGAGCGTGAGCCACCCTGTATATATAAACTGCAAATTCGGCTAACTGCAACTCGAAAAATGCTATTTAATGGGTAAATGTTGTAAAACTTTGGTTGAGAAGATACTATTTTATATATTAACTCTGATCTTATACTTATAAACTACAAACTTTGCTAATTATTGTAACGCGAAAGATGCCTCTTAATGTGTAATGTTTGTAAAACTTTGGTCGAAAAGACACTATTTTATATATAAATTCTGCATTTAAACTAAATAAATATGCAGAGAAGGCTATTTGATGTATTAACTCTGATCTTATACTTAGCGCAGCTAACCGCACCGCGAATAATTCTACTTAATGTGTAAATTTCGCAAAACTGACCACAAAAGATAATATTTCATATGAAAATTCTACATTATAAACAAATAAATATACAAAGGAAGCTGCTTTATGTGTTAAAGCTGATCTTGTACTTATGAGATGCTAGCCCGGCTAACCATAATGTAAAAAATGCTACTTTAAGTGTAAACTTGAAAAAAAAACTTTGGAAGCAGAATGTAGGTACTATGTAAATTCTGCATTATAGACAAATAAATATCTGGTAACTCTGGTCTTACGCTTATAAAATGCAAGGACGCAAAAATGATACGCAAAGCTCATTGATTATATTACTGTATGGGTAAATCCTGCACCTTAAAAAAAAAAATGCCCCTTTATGTGCCATTGATTAAATATAGATTTAAGTTGATTCAGAATCTAAGAGGTATATACATTAAACCCGTCATCTTCACCAGAACAGACGTTCGAATAGTAAGGATCAAATTCAGTATCAGGATATTCTGAGAACGGATCCTAATAGCAACATCTCTCTCAGAAAACCAATCAACGAAGAAATGGTAAAAAGTTGGGAAAATATTTGCAAGACGGTTTGGAGAATGGCAAAATATCAAAGTTTCTTTGCGAAATCAAAATCTGGAATACTTCCACTTGGGTCCCCCACCTTAAACTCCGAACCAAAAAGTTTAGTGACTAGTCACGTCATCAAATAAAACCGACAGCTGTTTATATATGCTGCAAGACCAACTTGAAAGGTGATGAGAAGTTTAGCTGAACCTCTGTAAGCTAGGCTTGGAGGGAACAGAAATAGACGCATCAAAACAAATGCAAATGTAACAAAAGTATATCAGACATCTACCATAGAATATGTGAAAAATATGATAGAAAAAGCAGATATCGATGGTTGTTTCATTTTGGAAAGAATCTTGTAGAGATATGGAAGTCAGACAAAGCATTTGAAAAAACTAGCATACATTTATTTTAAGGGTACCAACTAAAAGCAAATAATAATTTCAGTCTTTAAACTTCAGGCGCCTACTTTTAAATAGCGACTGAAGAAAACCAGGCCAGAGAAAGAGCAGGAGAAATAAAAAATCAAAAGGACGAACTAATAAGTATTCAGAAAAACAGAGAGGGGAGAAGGAGTTATTAGGGAAAGAAATAAAGGTAAGAGAGATTGCTGGTAGACTGAATAAATTTGTAAAATATGTGGTCTAACTTAACTAATGATAAGAAGATCCTAAGATATGTTAAAGGTTTTAAATGAATTTTTAAAATACAAAAGATCTTTCACAAAAGGATGTTTTCTCTTAGAGAAAAAAAACCAATCTACACACTTCAATAAAAAAAAAAACTTGTACTAAATAATGCAACAGCTGTTTGTTTGCTAAAGAAAATTAGTTTAGTTCTCATATTTTTTAAGACCCAAATGAAATGATTCATCTAGGTTCATCTTTAACAAATATATAGATTCTCGCTTTTCAAACTGGAAGTTCTCAGGTCTGCCCAGAATATTTTGTTATAGGACAATGTTGTCAAAAATTAAATTAAATAATGCCTCTTATCTCATCTCAATACATAAAAAATCAGGAAAGTACTTGAAAACAAAAAAAAAATAATAATTTGAGTGTCTTACCGTTTGCTCCATATGTTTTTGCAAACACTTTAAAACCGGTAGTGCATCAACTAAGGCTTTTAATGATTTCCTAATTACATCTAAATCTAGTGATGAATGTCTCAAACATTGTAATGCAACGGTTAATTCTTTACAATCTCTATGACTCATCATGAAAAAAAAAAAAATTCTGTTTTGTGTGCGATAACTCGATTGTTGCGTAGCTGATGCATTTCTTGTATACTAAGTACTAAAATTAGAAAGACCAAGCAGAATGCATAGTGATTGTACCGAAATGGGAAACTCAACCATCCCATGTTATATAAAAAAAAAATATATAAAATAAATGCATTTTACGGTACATGTCAACATTAAACCTAGTTATTCACTTCAGCAAATCTTCATTTAGAACTCCTTATAACCAGAGTTCTGCCTAGCTCTCATTATAAATAGTCCCTAGTCATCCTGTCTTGCCAAAATGTATTCAAACTTGAGACCAAAACACAGTTTTAAAATACTTCAATATTTTCTTCCACTTGAAAAACTTAAAACAGCTAATAGCCAAACTTGTTATGCTTGCAGCCCAACGGGTATAGACTTTCTCAAAATGTCAAGGTGGAAGCTAACAATATACAAATTTTCATTGACGAAATGCTCAAATTTCGACTTCACAACGAGCCCAGCCTTTATTAGTATTTTCATTCTCCTACGAATTACCTCAATTTATGCTCGGTAAAAACAATTTTCATTTTATGAAAAAAAAAAGTCTAACAGGTCTTCAGGACCTTTTATTCTAATTACTACCGCTCTAGTCCATCCAGTATCTTCCCAAACTATTGGGTGAGTAGCTCAAGCACTTAGTACACATACGTATGTACCTCGACCGTCCTCATAATCTGCGTCAATATCGAAACCATTAGAAGGACAGAGAGATCAGTAGTGTTTAACAAGTTTTACAATTAAGATGTAAAACCAACGTTCACAAAAGTATTAAAAAATTATAAAACATAATTGTTAAAATTCAGTATTATTTTTTGTTACGTTGTTTAATGATTAATTCATTAGTATTATTATGGTTAATTTTGTGGGAAATTTATAGTAATATTTTCTTTTGCATATTCTATTGTATACATTTACGTAGAAAGCAAAAATCTAGTTTTATTTTGAATAGAACATCCTCTGAACAACTACAAGGTTATCTTTATTTCCACTAACAAGGATGTGAAGCATAATTTTAGATCAAACGACTTACCTGAAGGAAGTTCGATCCTAATTATGCGAGCATCCTTGTTAGTGGAAATAAAGTCCCACCTCCACCATATTTATATTATTTTTAACCCCAAACTCCTAGGCTCCACAACAGGTAATGAATAATCTAAGCAGGCAGCGATAGAGAATAATGTAAAATCTTTAATCTGAACATGTGAGTCAGCGGCGTAACATAGGTATACTACAAGGTTATCTTTATTTCCACTAACAAGGATGCTCGCATAATTAGGATCGAACTTCCTTCAGGTAAGTCGTTTGATCCATTAATAATACGGTTAATTTATATATAAATAAAAAGTTCCTTTATTTATTCGGTCAATAGTTTTTATTTTTTATAATTTAAGCATTAAATATGCTTCGGATTTTTTCATCTTCTGGAGCAGTCAATATATTTATAAAAATATGGGGGATGAATAAATATTTTTAAAATAACAGAGAACCCATCTTCCTGTTTCACAGCGTGTGTAATAGCAAACTATCAAACACAAAAACAAAATGACATTTGCGGATGTGTAATTAGAACATAACAACAATAAATTTTGATGACTTTAAGCGGAAGTATTTTCGCATGAGTAATAGGGATCATCAATAACGGTAAATGTCTATTACTCGACTAAACGTACATATTGCAACACTCTCTCGTCGCCAGTTTTTTCTTCTCAATTATTTTTGCAATCCTGGAATAATAAAAAGAGACAGAGACCAGAGTCAGACGAACGAGGGGATACGAGATACCTCATATTCTCATAACGAAACAATGCAACGTAACATCAAACATTACGTTTTTGTGGGTATGGGCGCATTCGGTATGTACCTACTTATATTTATGATTTATAGACTTATGTTAATATAAATTACATTGTGGCTTTTTCAGTTCTTTTAAATCTTCAAATTGTTAAAAAAATAAAAATAAAAAAACGCGCCTGTAAGACCAGCGCATTTCGATGATAGGACCCGCGCATACCAGCGCTTGTGGGACCGGCGCACCGGAAAATCTTCCGGTTTCCCGGTGGGCCCCACCGCCCCACAGTGGCGCGGAGCGCCACTGTCCCACCCAAATTACTCTACGACTCACAGGATTGATCCGTTTTAGACGTGCGTCATCTTAAAATGTTCGTCTTGAGTTTGCCTATCGACCCTTGTTCCTGGATTTTTGATTTCGAATTTTATTTTTCTGTAATTTGTGTCCAAAAATTTACTTTCATGGAAAAATGGCGATTTTGGGTGCAAAAGTCATCCTAGCGAACGCAACATTGAGTTTTTACAAAACTTTTTTGAAGGAAACTCTTCCTCTTGACAACTCCTACAACCCTGTGTACGTCAAATTGCGAGAGAAATTGAACGAAATTGAATGAAAAGTGTTCAGTATCACTTAAGGAATATGTCCGAATTTTTACAGAATTTTTGGAAATTTTCCGAGATTCTGGAATTTGGCGATTTCCTGGCCAAATTAAATGGCCAAAAATATCCTCAAACATTCTGAGAAAATTTTTACGTATTGCTGGATTGATTACAAACACTTTTTATTGAAACAAATTTAGATTTTTGTTCCAATAGATTTTTGAGGATCAATTTCCTTTCGCATCAATAGTTTTGGATCACTATGGTCGTTTTTAGGCATGACGGCCAATTTCTCTCGCAATTTGACGTACACAGGGTTGTAGGGGTTGTCAAGAGGAAGAGTTTCCTTCAAAAAAGTTTTGTAAAAACTCAATGTTGCGTTCGCTAGGATGACTTTTGCACCCAAAATCGCCATTTTTCCATGAAAGTAAATTTTTGGACACAAATTACAGAAAAATAAAATTCGACATCAAAAATCCCGGAACAAGGGTCGATAGGCAAACTCAAGACGAACATTTTAAGGTGACGCACGTCTAAAACGGATCAATTCTGTGAGTCGTAGAGTAATTTGGGTGGCAGAGTGGCGCTCCGCGCCACTGTGCGCCCCTGACCAGTTGTCCGTTGCGCAGAAGATTATAACTCAGTTGTAAGATGTTAGGAATGTACATTTTATAATGACTGTAACAGAAAATTATAATAGCACTGATAACAAAAATATTACAAATTATACTATGTGTATTTAATTCAAAAACAATACATTTTCTTGGGGTCGGTATATTTCTAGGCATACGTCACCCTTATCAAAATCATTAAAAGTTTTCTGTTGATAAAAAAGTAGGTAGATATCATAAATTATTAATATTAAAATAATAGAACTTTTATTCACTCATACGTAGTTTACTTTTGTTAATTATTGTTTTTAGAACGTTTTTATATAAATTTTCAAAAGAAATTTGTTTAATGTAATGGAAACGAGCATTAAATTGCCAAATATTTCGCCGGAAGTTAGTGCGAATGTATTTTCAAAATTATTTTTTTGGTAAGTACAATATAAAAATGTTGAAATTTGACAGAAAACAGCAAAAAATATAATTACGCTCGCCAATATCCCGGTTTTTATGTGCACTTCTTAATATATGACTCTCCTTTTTGTATGCCTATTCGTCCACATGAAGTGTCCTTTATTCTGGATGTATGACCTGTCCAGATTTGTGATATCCGTGTTCCCTAACCCTTAGACAGAGCAACTCTATGTCTTTCATACAACTCGGGAACAAGACTCAAAAGTGCTAGAAGCTTTGTACCTCTTTATTTTTAGGCACTTTTAGGTAAGAACAGCCGATTACAAGAACATTCGATAAATATCGATGATTTATTAAATTTAATCAGATGTTTAGATTGAGAAATTTGAAGTTCGTGTGATTCAAGCAGATCACATTCTCATACTGTTACAAAAATAAACTGAGCATTAATATTTATCGAACGTTCTTGCAACCGGCTGTTAGTATACCGATTAAAATATTAATTAACAAACAACTGTTTTTAAAAAATTGCGATAAAATTGTATTTACCGAATGATGGCTATTATTAGGTCGAAAGCTTTCTTTAAAATCATTAAGCATACTTTAATTGATTAATGGTTGTCAAAGTTTGAGTTTTCTTTTCGTAAGGTTTTTACTCTAGTATCTATGGCTAGATCTATTTAGAAACAATAATTATTTTTTGCAAACAATTAATAATACATATAAAAAATTGTTTTAATTTTAATTCACTAATACATTTATTTGTTTGAAGCAAATATTATGCAGAATTGTGCCAGGAGTTCTATTTTTGAAAATTTGAACAAGATTGATGATTTTAATGTAAGAAAAAAATGGGACCGAGTCGGTTTTTATCTATTAGATCTTGGATGCATCTAGATTAGCAGGGTTATTCTACTAAATTTATAGCCCGGCTAAAAGTTTATAGCCCGGCTACAAGTTGGATTTTGAAGTTAGGAACATATAAAGTTCAAGCCAAAATCCAACTTGTAGCCGGGCTATAAATTTAGTAGAATAACCCTGCAGGTATAGGGAAATGTTTTCCTTCGTGTGCCAGTATTTACTAACGAAATATATGCCGGGCCAAGTTGTTGCATTTTTGGCTGAAATAAAAATATTGATATGTATTTTCTAAAACACCAATTTATTGTGCAATATTACAAAATAACTATTGAACTAAGAAAGAAATTGTAAATTGCAATTAAATTAAACTTTTAAATTAGCTGCGAAGTAGAAGGTTGAGGAACGCTGGTCTTTATGGGGACATGTAACATGTGAAATTGTTTTTGTTTCTGCATCATTTCATCATAAACAGACTCCATTTGTAATGATGAAATTTTAAGTCGTAAAAAGGTGATCATGCAAAAGCCTATTACGAAGACATTTTTTTCTTAGTTTTACTATTGAAAAGGAACGTTTGTTAACACAAATAGCTTGAACCAAACTTAGCCATTAGTTTTTGGGAGTGAGCAACTAAATTTGGGTATTGTGTCCTAGATATGGACTCATAAAATTCCAATTTGCTGGTGTTCAGAACTAGTTGCTTCAAATAGGTATTGTATTACATCTCAATTATTTCAAGTTGGAGGTTAGCGGGTATTTCATCGAAGTTGTCATTAAAAGGCATCGAAATAGTAATTAATGTATCGAGAGAGCAAAATAGGCATTTTTGGACCACAACGTGTAAGTAAGAATCCGAGCCGTTACGGGAGGGCTATTAACACGTAAGGTCCCTAAATGCTGTTTCCGCCCGAAATACATACAAAATTTTATGCACGTCCCTTTTAATAATAATTTATTACCAAATATATAAAATTTTATGTACGACCGTTTTAATGATCGTTTATTAATAAATAGCTATTGTTTTACTAACGAGATGTGAATTTTTAAAAGAAATAAAAAAATACGTGTGGCACTCGGGGACTACCGCCGTAAAGCTATTGCATAGCGTATTTTTAATTAACTTATGCAATTATAATTATTTATTTATTTATTTTATTTATGCAGTATTTTTTTTTCTTTGATAATAATTCAAGTTTTTTCTTTAATATTAATTCAAGTTACACTTTTTGAGCGTGGTGACCGACACGAAAACAAACTTTTTTCTTTTATTGAATAAATGAGAAGTTAATATTGTTGTACTTATTGAAAAAAAAATATTTCCTATTTGTTTATCTTTTTGAATTTAAATGAACGAAGTCTCCACTGGTAGCTTACATTTTTAAAATTAGCTGAACTTGAATGAACCTCGTTATGCGCCAGTATGCATTGAATAAGTATATACTTTTTAAAAACTAAACATTTTAAATTACCAAGACTGTGATATAATAAAACAATAATATTTTTCCTTTTTTTTTAAGAAAAAAAAAAAAACAAAAAAAACTAAACGTTTCAGGGCTCGAACCACCAACTTTGCTATCCACACTATCTAAATTTTGACCACTGTACGCTCTGCGCCACCGAGCACATCTTGATATAAGTTTGGAATCGTTTATACTAATATATAACATTTGATTACAAATATTTACGAATTATTACTTTTTAATTAAACAAAAATAAATTGGAAACAAAATTTTATCATGTCATTGTAATTTAATGGAATCACATAAATATATGATTTAAAAACTATAAAAGTATCATTATTACTTAACTTCTAGTTCTTGTATTGCATAAACGTTCCAGTCCGCAGACGTATATTTAACTCCGCTTCATACTAGTACGAATAGGGCCGGATTCGGATAAAACTAGAGATGGGTTGCTATTTCACAGTAGCAGGTTTTGTCACTGCTTTTCTCTTGTCACTGGAGCAAAGTGCTCCACGACTCACCAAAAAGTTGTTACTTTTCGGAGCAGGTTCCGAGAAAAAAGGAAAACAATATACATTCTTATTTTTTTAAATTCTTTTTTTTATTTTGTCTATTCATATTCAATATAAAAAAGATGGCATTCAAAACTTAGAAATACTTTTGTTGAAATAGAAACAGAATGCAAAATGTTAATTTTTAAGTTGTAACTCAATCGATTTCACCGTTGTGTTAAACGAAGTTTAAAATGACATTTTTACATCAACAATGTCATTTTAATCTCCGTTTAACGCAACGGTGAAATCGGCCTTAAGTGAATCCCCGATATAACTAAAGACAAAATTAATAATATCGATCATCTTCTTATTTACTTTTGCCCTGGCTGTAAAGTCTATTTGATAAGTTCTAATCAATCTTCAAGGCAAGAAAATAATTAAATGTGTTTTATACGAAATTTTTAACTCCATAATCATTAATTGATAGATAGAACAATTTTACCAAACACAGATAGTCATAAAAAACGTATCGTGAAATATGAAAATTATCTAAAAGCTGCTCCAAAAAAATAGCAGTATTTTGTCACTGCTTTTTTGTTGTAGCAGAAGCGGTTGTCACTGCTTCTTAAAAATAGCTTGGTTTACCCATCTCTAGATAAAACCTTCCACGGCATTCAACGCTGCACCGCTGTGCCGGTCGGAGTGGGGGTGTTAAGTTATTTTGGTTACGGTCAGTGTTGTCAGATGTACGATAATTATCGATTTTGTACGATAAATTTAACGAACGTACGATGTACGATAGTAGCTATGCGATAATGGCATTTTATACGATAATTTACATTTAGAAAAATAAACTAATGCGAAAACCTATGTAATGATGTATTCATCACAACCCTCTATATTTTTAATTTTGCTTAATATATTTTTATGGTTAATGACAAGTCTAAATGGTAAACTGATATTAAAATTTTGATTGTTTTATATTTTTTTGGAATGGGTTCTTCCCAAATTTGTCGACTTAAGTAAGCTTTCCATTTCAAATATCCAGAATATAAAAAAAGGCAATGAGGCTATACTTTTACCGCTAATAACATCTTTACCACACATTTGTGATCCCCAAAACACCACGCAACTACAAAAAATTGACGACCAGTGGAGAAAATTAAAACACTTTGAGGATTTACCGGAATCCACGGAAATCGATGAGTTTTTTCATAAAGTAAGTCAAGCAACAGACTATAATGGAGAACTTATATTTCCAGATTTGTGTAATTTTGTTTTAAGTGTTCTCTCACTATCACATTCAAGTGCCAGTTGTGAAAGACAATTTTCAAAGGTAAATTTAATAAAAACCAAATTAAGAAACAGATTAATAACTGATACGGTAAATGGACATATGTTATCGTCTCAGCAGGTCCATCTAGAACAAGACTGTTTAAATTTTAAACCCAGTGACAAAATGTTAAGAAGCATGACGTCTGCCAAACTCTACCAGAACCAGAATTTCCAAAACGATAATGAGATGCAATTTGATGACATCACTTTTGATGAAATTTAAACGTTTTTGTTTTCTTTTATTTTTATTTGTTTTAGCTTTTATCCTTTTAGTACAAAGACAATTATTATTTTATGTTTAAAGAAAGTTCGATGTTTTTATTTAATATAAAGATAAAAAAAAAATAAAATATTTTTATTTCTCTTTTAATTACTCTTTTTTTTAAATTATATTAAAAAACTTTTTTAATAAGTATCGTTATTTTGTACGATAATGTACGATAATTTTAAACGGTTTATGCGATAATTCTCTTTTTGAAGTCTGGCAACACTGGTTACGGTCGTTACGAAAATTTCTTGATTCGGTCGCCGCGCTCAAAGCCCGCGATAGAAGCTATGCAATAGCTTAAAAATTTCTATGACTTTTTTACAATATATTATACATCCACTTTCTATTGATTAATGTAAGTGGTTACACATACATTGGGTTTTTTTTAATTACTCAATTATTTCTTTCATTACATAATTATTTTTAACCATTAATTAATTATTTACAACAAAATTTGACCACAACTACAACATACACGAAAAACCAGTTGACTAGTAGAAATATAACTTCTACTGTTGATTTGGATTCAAAAGCTGCTGTTAATTTTTAAAACTGTTCTAATTTCATAATTAATTTTGCAACAAATAAATGAAAGA